TGCTGAAGTACTTGTGTTGTGTCGGTGTTGTGCCAGAAAAAAAGAAAGCACAAACCACTTTAACCCCTGACTTTGGCACACAGGTTTGCCTCTTTCATCTCTTTTCCCCTGGTGAACAGGACTGCCTGTCTTGAGTTACTGTTCAGGCTTAAATCGGTTTGATGTATGAAGGCCCGCAGTGACGTAAAATAATAACTCCCTGTCAAATGTTTTAAAACAAAAGTAACAAGTCTGTTAAGAAGTAGAACGTACAGATATTTATTTTAAAATGTAGGGTGCAAAAGTAAAATGTTGTCAGAAAAAAAACTACTCAAGTAAAGTACAAATACCTGAAAATTCTACTCAAGTTCAGTAAGTTTTTGTAATTCGTTACTGTATGTGTAACAAAGTAAATCATAGGCATTGTATGTGAAGTTTGTGTTTACTGAGATAGCTCACAGAACTCCCTCACACAACAGTTAGAGCGACAGAGTTCTCTTTGCCACAAATTGACTCCACCAGTTAAAACTACTGAAAGTGCTGCAGGGACACACTGAAGCCTGACCCAAAGGAACCACTGTGCATTTCTCAGTGCCAGAGAATAAAGGATGTGCTGAGAAGTTCCCAGTCGGTGACCCAAAGGGTCAGAGACCCTAGGTAGTCTACAACTTAATATGTGGTTATAACCTTGAGGTTGATTGGAGTGTCTATCACTAAAGTATCCCTGCAGAGTGTACATCACATTTCAACCAACCAAAAGGAACTCTGAAGAAATGTGGCTGCGAAAAGAAGATCCAATGGGATTCCAAAAGAAATATTAATAACAATGCAGGTCTCAGCTCATGTATGAAAAATATAATTTAATTTTGTTAAGCTTTACTTTACAGTATTGTTCAATTAGTCTGGAAGCCTTTTTAATTAGTTAATACTGACTTACATGACGCACAGACTGATGGCAATGATCAATGTCAGCATCAGACATGCAGCACGGAGTCAATAAGCAGTCCTAGTTTATTTTTGTCTGGGTAATGTAGCTATGCCAGCCCATACTGATTGGATATTTGTGTTCTCAGTGGTGTAGGAGGATTTTTAAGACCATGGACGGGCAAATTTATATATAAACCAACTTCACAGCAAAATCTCACAAGCTGAAGATACAAATATTTTATATTTACTCTAGTATAAACATTGTTTTCTGCTGCAGAATACAGTGTACGATCTTAATATGCTGTTAGAAGACTGTATGTGTGTTTGTTTTTATTTACATTTCAGCTTTGTCATAATATCTTATCTCATATTTAGATACCTAATTACAGTTTCCTATTAGTTTCCTATTATGTTTGCTGTTTTACATACAAGTCCTGAAGATAAATAAAAAAGCAAAAAGATAATGTGCTAGTAAATTTGCATATTTCTTTTTTTAGTCATTCTTTTAAAACTATGTCAATATTTTTTTTAAAGAAAATTCACAGTTTTTATATGAATTAATTTTGTTGATGACTGTAAATTACTATCCAATAATGCATGCAACTTCTGGGCTCAGCCAATCAGAGCCAGCGGATTTCGTTACACAGGCATTTTGCCGTTACAGGGGCAGAAATATTGCTGTTAAGTGCCTTCATAACTTGAATTTTTCGTTAAATGGGGTATTTGTAAGTCGGGGTTCCACTGTACTAAGAATATTAAGCAAATATATTAAATATTATATGTTTTCATGGTTTAATACAGTTCTTGCTTGGTGAGTGAAAATATCCTGAAATGTAAATGTTTCAGACTTATTACTGTTAAAGAAAGACAATAAACTAAAAGGGTAAATAATGGAGGACATGCTGACCAGGGTAAGGATATACTACTTTACTGTAATTTAACAGGAAAAATTTCCTCCTGTGTACTCTTCCAAATACCAGAATTTATCATATGTTTAGTGTTTATTGATCTCATTATCTTAATCATTAAGCAGCTTTCTTGTTTGATCTAGTCATTAGTAAGTTTTTACTAAGAAGTCTTTTACTTCCTGTTTTTCTTTTTTTAATGTTTAACTTACATTTTTAAGGAATCACATGATCATTTTTACAAGAACTTGTGCATCATCTTCCATGCATGTACATTTCACCTATTGCATTATTGTTTTCTGATTAACAAAACAATGTTAGTGCTTCAAGATGTGCACTGTGAGATAAAATTTGAATGAATAAGAAATTACTTTTTAAAAGTAAACAGGACTGACAGTTGAGGTGCATTACATTAGAGTGATAGAGAGACGTTCACAGTGGAGTCACAGTGCACGGACAAGTGGACAAGTTACACGAGAAGTACAGGCCAGAATGCTTGAACTGTATGGGTACTTCTTTGCTGCGGGCGTTCTCTTAGGTCCACTCTCAATTGCTCCATTTCATCACTAAGCATCAATTAAAAGTTGTTCTGAGTGATCATCTTTATCCTGTCATGAAATATTTATGTTCTGAAAGGAATGACTCCAGCCACATCCCAAGACTGGTTACTGAATAATCTGATGAATATAAATATGACACAAATTATATGCTATGGCCTTCACAGGGTTAGACACGTTAGCGTGCTGTCCACCATGGCATCAAAAGCATGACATTTGTTTGAAGAATGGCGCTTTGCCCCTGCTATGTGGATTAGAAGGACTTGAGAATATACTGTAGGTATGCCAAGGTGCTGTGCTGGCAGCATGTCGTAGCCCACTTTGAATTTTGAGAGAGAGGAAAACAATGTGGGTTTTTTTCAAACTTTATTGAGGCACATAGGGCAGTTACAATATTTAAACACTTTGGTAAAAACATACTGTTTCCTTTATCACAGGGATAAAAAAAACAGAAAATAGACAACAAGAAATACTGATCTAAAGTTATTATTTGGGCCATTTATAAGACACAACATACTGTGACTCCACAACAGGCAGCATGCAGGTCCTCTAACACTGTGCCCTGGGAAAAACAGCAGGACGGACACATGACCCAGATACAACAGAGCAATAACAGAGCACACACACACACTCATAGGTGCTTCTACATTTGGAGTATGGTGTCTACATTTTATCACGATGGAGTCTGTTTAAAGCAGCCTTATATTTGGAGTCAACACACTTCTCCTTATTGGACATGTTTACCGTATAGCTGAACAAAATGCTCACAGCTGCAGTACACAAAGATTTGATGTTTTTTTTATGAAACAACACAGTTTTCATTAACATTTAAACTCCATTAAGTGATTTTTATTAAATTTCTATTTTAAGCCACTACACTCCTAATAGAAGCACACACATTTACTTTAAAGCAGAACATAGGCATATTTGTTAGTACTGATTTCACTACGCACATTGCTTTGCGCTGCAATTCATATGTGACACAAGTCATTTTTTTTCCCTTAATCAAACCTTGATTGTGACTGTTGTACTCATCCTGACAGGCAGAAACGTGTGCTCTCATCCATGACCCGCCTACTGTTATCTAGAAACAGGTTTAGCAACAGTGCTTAAAAATGAATGAGATATCAACGTTTCTGAGGTTACATAGGCTTCCATTTCTTGTCATACCTGCACTCATGTAAACGTGGATATAACCGTTGAATAACTGGTCTGAAAAAAACATTTACATGCAGGACTTAGTGTTGGTTAGTCATAGTGTGCACATTGAAATTATTAATAGATATTCAGTCCCTACTGTGGAAATTTTACCTTCACACCACAGAAGATTTTATTCTTGCTGTTTTGGTCATACTGTGAATTTTTAACTCGTAACTTTCTGATTTTATGTAAACAGAATTTACTGGGATAGAGTTACTAAAATTTGGTCAAGTCCCTGCATGTTTTGTGGGGCTTTTTTTTCTTTCTCAAGATCACCAGTACTGAAATAAATTTTTAAAAAGACGTTTGAATAGTATACTTGCTATTGTGTATATGTGTATTTTCGTGTAGATCTGTATCTAGTAGGGGTGCAACAATACACAAAATTCACGGTTCGGTTCGATACTTTGGTGTCACGGTTTGATATTTTTTCGATACAAAAAAATGTTCATGCCTTTTTAATTTGTCATTTATTAAAATTATAAATATATATTTTAACTCAAAAGTACAGTTTTTAAATTTAATGTTGCTGAAACAACAAAGTAATAAAATAATATAAATAATCATCATCTTTGGAAATAGTACTAGTTTTTATATATATATTTATATATAAACAAACAAAAATAAAAAATAAATCTATCTGATCGAGAATCACTCATCTTTGGAAAAGAGAGTTTATTACAGAGAAATGGCTCTTTCCAAAATAAAAGCTATACTATACGCTTCTTCTGGGCTATATTCTCAGCAGCATATTAAACATATCAGGTCCCCATAAGGAGAATCATGTGCTAACGGCTGTCTAAATGACTCGGGTAAAGTTTGTAGCATGCGTGCTTGTTGTTTTTGTCTGCTTCCACTTGTCTTTGCACTAGGATGATGTCGGCGTAAATGTGCAGTCATATTCGTTGTGTTCCCACTAGTGCTGTCAGCGTTAATCTCGTTGAAATGACGTTAACGCCACAACACGGCAAATCTCCGTTAACGAGCTACGCGGATCGCCCCGTGCATGGGGCTGAGACGGCCAACACGTTAACGAGCTAACTGCGCTAACACACTAGTTCCCACCCATGTAATTGAGCATTGCGTGGCACATCCAACATACTGTTTTACTTTAGTCCATGACGCGCTTACCTTCAGGGTCATACGTCACATGAAAACCAAAATAGTTCCAAACGCCAGATCTGAATGAGGGTGGGGGAGGTTCAATTTGCCATGTTGCAAGGAGAGCTTAACTTCTGTCTCGCTAGCTTGCCCTGCGCTCAGTGAATCTGCGTTCGACTACTCCGCCTAGGCTGCACTGTCGAGCGCAGATCCACTGAGCGCTCAACACAGACAGCATCGTCAGAAGGAAAGTTGATAAAATAAATTAAAAATTTTGTATTGTTCGATACATATGCGTATCGAACCGAAAGCACTGTATCGAACGGTTCAATATCGATACGAGTATCGTTGCACCTCTAGTATCTAGGTGCACATTTAAAAATGTAAAAGATTTTTTTTATTCAAAGAAGAAAACCAGGAATTCTGCAGATGTGGTCACAGTGCATACGTCCTCTATGCTTTTCAGTTTGCTTTCTTTCTTCAACTTTCTCCAACTTTTTATTACAGTTTTCGTAAATTCACTGTAACCTCGAACTTCACCAGGCAGAACAGATCTCTGCATTAAATACACTTCACCCTACAAGCGTGATATTAGAAAGTCTACACACTGCGTGGTTTGCCCACGTGTGAACAGAGCAGGCGATAGTGTGCCCGGTGATGAACATCACATCCTGCCTCCTGCACGCTCCTCACAATGTGCAGGAGGAGTGTTTTCAGTAGTAAATACACATCTGTACAGACAATCCCCTATTTTCTCTTACATGTGTGAAAATGACCAAATGAACTCTTTTTACCTTTAGTTGTTTAGTGCTAAGATCAATCAATGGTCACCATGGTGATAATCATGTTCTCACCAAGAAGAGAAACTTCTTTCCAAATTTTAAAATAATAATTTTCAAGTCATCTCTTAACAAGGTAGAAGTGTACAGACAATTCCTGCTTTGAAGGAGGGGATTTTATCAGCGCGTTGTTGTCCTATTTGCTGCACTGGAGTGTCTGGAAAATTTCCACAAGTGATCAATAGACAGGCAACCAGTTGCCCATCCAATCATTGAATGCTGCAGCATGGATTGTTGTTTCAAGCGAGTATAGCAAAGTCATATTTCTATGAAACTGAATGGCACCAACAAATGAAGCAACATAACAATTAATAAACAAATGATAAACAATCCTGGATCCAAGATAATTAAATTCATAATTTAATTATCTTGGATTAACTGATTAACTGATTAACATCAGTAGTCACATTTTAGGGGAAATATGGTTTCCAAAGTCATCATCTACGATAATTTAAACCAGGACACTGTGTTTCAGCTCCTCCGTGGAACCTTTTGATTTAAATTATCATGGTTTGGGTTAAATTCCATGGAGACTGGTCTTGCGCAGCTAATATTTACATAATTGCTAAAAAATGGAGCATCAGAGAAAGGTGAGAATATAACTGATATGTTAATTACAATCAGTATTAATGAAACAAATACAATCATTCTGGAGGATGTCATTTAGTTGTGTGGGATTGTAATTTTGAGGTGGTGGGGATGTTACGAAAGCAAGTTACATTATATCACAGGTAGTGATATTTACTTTTTAATTATTTTATTTGCATTTTTAATCACTAGGGTTTGAGAGTAACGAAATTTCTATTCTTTGTATGTCCTGTACATGTGGCAGAATTGACAAATAAAGTTGACTTGAGTTGACTTGACTTGACAAGTTACTGACTGGGATATTTGTAATTAGTTGTAATATTCACTGCTTCAGCTCCCAGAGGCAGCCTGTCACTGTACTCAGATCCCACCTCACAGTCGTCCAAATTCCCCCTGCACTGAGACAAAGTAAAGGAGTCAGTCACCACACTCTCTTCCGTATCAGCCTCCTTGTCCCCATCTCCGCTCTCCGTCTCGTCTTCCTCTTCATCCAGTTGGCTGCTGTCAATCTTCTTCAGAGACTCGGCGTGAGGTGCGTAGATGTTGAAGTTGGTGGTGAGGTTCCTCTCTATGTGATACTGGTCTTTGGCCTTAAGGATCAGCTTGTAGGTCTTGCTGCGGTACTTGTACACCAGGTGGAAGCACGTAGCCCCGAGCAGAGGCACAGTGGACACGGTCAGGAGGCAGATGCTGACTGAGATGATGATGAAAAGGTTTGGCACCTTCCTTCTTGTGGTGAACAGCACGTGGACCTCACAGTCCTCCCCTCTGTAGGTCAGGCAGAGGGAGTAGTTGGTGCCTGGTCGCAAACCGCTGAACTGATACGAGTTGACGCCATCCCTGATCTTCGACCATTGCACGGCAGAATGTTTTAGGTCCGCGGTGACGCACAGATACAAGCCATTTGAAGGGGCTTTTTCTGAGATGTCTGGAAGGCCGTGGTGCTCTTTGTTGTCAGAGGTGGCATCAGCTGCCTGGTTGCCCTTTTGTCTGGCCATGAGAAGAGGATTGAGTCGCACTGTTGCCTGTGTTTCTGACACTCCTAATGCAATCACACCAAAGTCAAACATGTATTTAATGTCATCTAGGCTCCCGTTTGAGACAGGGCTTGAAATATAGCTCGTATTAGCCGTCAAGCCACATTTGCTAGATAGATATTTTGTTAAATCCTCATTAGGTTCGGAAACACTGTCTGCAGTTGGTGGGTGAGTGGGTATGATGCTCGTAATTTTTTTTCTCTGCACGGCATTAAAAGCAGATGCTTTGACTGTTTCCTGGCGTGTAGATGGGTTTGTTTTAGTGTAACTGGGTACTGTGGTCATTTGCTTCATGGGTGTTGGTGTAGACAGCGCCATCACCTCAACTAAAACTGAATCCTCCGCTCTTCCAAGCTCATTTGTGGCAGAGCAGCTGTAGTTGCCCCCATCTTCCTTCCTGAGGTTTGAAACGAGAAGTGTGCCGTTATTAAAGACTTTGACTGAATCCGACTCGTAGGACACCGAGGAGTCCTCGCTGGATTCTGCAGAGCCCTCCTCAGCAAACAACAAAGCCAGCTCCTGTTTTCGGCTTTTGCTGTGAATGCTCCACAGGACTAGTGGTTTTGGGTTTCCTTTGAAATCACAAGTCAAGACCAGTTTGCTGCCCTCATAGAATTGTGCATTATCTGACTCAGTCCATACTGTGACATTGGGGCTTGTACATTTTGTCTCAGGCAGTTTCCTGATCTCCATTCCTTTAAATTTCTCTGGTGTTGCACAAGTGATGGGACTGTGCTCAGTGAGTGATATGGTGGTTGTTGAAATCCAAACTCTGAACCATTCCAGGGAGCAGGTGCAAGCGAATGGATTATTATAAATCTGCAAATGTGACAAAGACAGCAAACCTTCAAATGTTCCTTCAGCTATGGTCACAAATCTGTTATTGTTGAGCCGAAGAGACTTCAGATCTTTCAGGTTGGAGAAGGCGTCCATTGGCAGGCTGACCATCTCATTGTGATTCATCTTCAGCATATACAGTCCTGTGAGGTTCTGTAGATCCTCCCAAGGAAAGTCTACTATTTTATTGTGGCTGATGTCTAAGTTTTGCAGATGAACCAAAGGCACAAGCGCCCCCTGTTCAATGGACACAATCTCATTGTGTGACATCCACAAGGAAATCAACCTGGTGACATTGTCAAATGTCCCCAGAAGTAGTACACTGATTTTATTAGCAGAGAGACTAATGGTCGCAACACTGGGAGGAAAACCCTCTGGGACTTTATCTAGCTCCTTGTAGGAGCAATCTGCAAAGAGACGGCTGTATTTAACCGAGCAGGTGCAGAGCTGAGGGCAGATCAGTCCTGTGGTGAAGGCTGTAGAGACCCACAAACTGAAGAGGAGGATGTATGTAGCTGCCATTCTTCTGTTCCTGTAAAATGGAGTCACAGTCCATCTGTTAGTGAGTGCATTAAATCGGATAAAAAGTGCTGCGAAAAAGTATCTGCCCCTTCCTGATTTAAAAAAAAAATAAAACCATCATTTAAAAACTGGATTTTGTATTAACTCTGGTTATCTTTGTTTAACTTGAACATTTGTCTGATGATGTGAAATATGTAAGTGTGACAAATATGCAAAAAACTAAAAAACAGGCAAATACTTTTTCACAGTGCTGTAAAAGACAATATTAAAAAGAAGAAACATTGGCATATAAACAACATGAAAATGGAGCGTGTTTATATAATCCAAGACAGATTTGTAAATCATTCAGAGAGTCTCCAAATGAGTTCAAAACGCTGGAGAGAGTCCTGACTGCATTAACAAGCGTGCACACTGCTCTCTCTGTCAGTCTGCAGCCCGACAGAAGCTACACAAAAAATCTAATTTTCCCAACATTTACACCATTGATACAATGAGCTTACAGATCACCTTACTTTTAGCCAAACTGTGTATTTGTGCTTGAGACTTTACATGGAAAGGAAATGCACACAAAACATCATTTAAATAATTTGCTTCATAGCTTGAAAGGACTGATAATCTTTAGAATTCATGGAATTAAAATAAAATGAAGCTTTTTCTGTTAAAACAGCACAGAGGTGGTTCCAGCTGGAATACTGCTCTATGACTTCAAATTGTTCTTAATTAAAAGCCAAAAGCAGTGAAGTTTGAATGTTTAAGATCCTGGCCAGCAAACAAAATTAAACCAAAAATATAAAGTCTCAAATATTTACAGAGTGTCTCTGGCTCAGTAAATGTTACTGATGCTCTAACTGAGCCCATCTCTTGCAGATACAAGACTAATTATGGAGAAATTTCACTTAGGCATTGGAATTCCTACAGATAAAAAAGCAAAACTGTCACTTTTTTTCACAGTTTTTATAATTTTAACAGTGACAGACAGATTGACCATACCATCATCTAAAGAAACAACTTAGAAACAAAGCCACTGACATCTATCAGTCTGGAAAGTGTTACAAAGCAATTCCTAGCCCTTTGGGACTCCCGCGAACAAATTTGAGAGCAATTATCCACAAATGGAGAAATTTTTAACAGTGGTAAAGTCCGGTCCAGCAAAATGTTAATTTCTCAGTTATTTCTCTGGCTCAGTAAATGTCACTGTTGAACGCTTAAAGTTGATCCATCTCCTGCAGGCACACGAAAAGCTGTGGAGAAATCTCACTACAGTTCCTGCAGAGACACAGACACTGTGTTCCATGCAGAGAACATGAAATAATATTTAGCAAGCATGAGTTATTAATCCATTTACAATACAATGCTAACCTGTTTTACACCGTGCCGTCTCACTTTTGTTCTTTCTGCGATTCACATAAAACAAACTGTACTGGAGAAAGAATGCCCCACCGCTGATATTCCTCAAGTTTCTTCTCTATTTCTCTTTAAATATTTTCACGCATTCGTGGCTTTCTCTCATGCCAGCTCTGTACTCTGACTAAACACGTTTCTATCGGAAATGGCAAACAAGGAGGAGCCCTGTAGCGTCTGGAAAATCAGGAAAGAAAAGAAAACAGTGACAACGATGTAATTTTCGAAGCTTCGAAGGTATGCGCTGACAAACTACAGTGAGTCAGTGTATCCTTCAAAGCAGCAGCGGTGGAGCTGAGTGCTGGGCCGCTGGGGAAAGCCTCTGGTTTCAAACTACGCAGCAGCCTCTGTCCTTGGTTCTGAAAGATGAGCAGCGCGTCTGCGTCCACGCACCCTGTAATGTCGCTGTGAAAGAAACTGTGAAGCTCGCCACCCGCTGTTGGTCGACCAAAACACCAAAGTTTTCCTGTGCGCAGAGACTTCGACGTTGGGTCAGCATGTAAAAATAATGCGGGAGGAAAGAGCACACCTATTCTCTGCGTTAGCGGCCCTAAACCCAGTGACGTGCTTACCTGCGTGTGATTTGTTTTGCTTGTTTCTGCAGAGAAGCCGCTGTTTGCAGTCACGGCACCGTGAGCTTCAGGCCGGATGGAAGTTTAAAGCTGAATGTGACTTAGCTCGGCTCTCTAGCTGCCTCTACATGATGAAAACACGCGTGTCTCCTGGGATATATGTCAAACTGAGGTATCCCCCCTCCTCACACACACATACACATCTCCCCTACTCATCCTCAGCCCCGGACAGAACTGCACCAGTGTCTCCCCCCCCCCCCAAAAAAAAAAATTTAAAGGGGAATTGACCGGCTTGGTTTGAAAGACATGGCGACTGATGTGAGAGCTCTTTAAATGTGGCAGAGCTGCTTAATCATGACAGCAGCAGCCAGCGATTATCCTGCTGATCAGCCAGATAGTTATTCATCAAGTCTTCATGTGTATTTCAAAGCTTGCTTACTTATCGTACTTAGTTAGTTACAGTTAGTTAGTTGTAGTTAGCATCTGTACGTATTTGTGCTTCTGATGGTTTCCCCAGAAATTGTGTGAAATAGTCGTTAAACCTTAATCTGAAGCAGGAAAGAGGTTTTGAACACACAGCATCACGTTTTCTGATATCAAACAAAACCAAGTTCCTCTCATGCCCACTTAAACCTGGCTCCAAAACAAAACATTTCACTCAGACTTCAATGTTAAAATATCTGAAATATCAAAGGAAAAAGCATTAAAAGATTTTAAACCTTCGAAAATGACCTAGACCTTAAAAACAGAGAACCAGTATATGATCATAGCGAAGAGGTCGGTGCATTTCTACCAAGTTGAAACAGGGTCTTATCTAGTACCACTCTGAAACACAGGATGGGGAGCTGAGTGAGTGTATACAGTTCAACAAGAGAGGTCTTTCAGCTGCCTTGGGATCTGGAGCTGTGAGGGATATACTCCTGTGTTCAGTCTAGCACAGCAACAAATTCAGAAAAATTTAGATTAGGAAGCACTGCTCAGGCATCACTAACAATGCAGCAAGTAGAACCTAGACCCTTGCTTTTGGCAGGGGTATCAAAATAAGGCACATGATTATTTACTTTTTAAATTTCTTCAGCAGCATTTCTTTGTCATGTAGAAAAATTGAGATTAGATTTATTTTTATTGTATTAAGATATCTCAGGTTTTAAATATGTAGTTAAACTCCTTTACGCTGACAGAAAGGGGACTTCAGCTGGTTGTGCCTTGAGGCGACAGTTGTTGGGAACTGGCCCAGCTTATTATACACAGCAGTTGCAGTACAGATTACAAGGTTGACAGTTTTACTGCTGTTTATGTGCACTGCTGCTATCTTGGATTGTGAACACAGAGTTATTGGGAAAGCTCCAACTTTCTGAGTTGGAAATATGACTTAAAGGTCCATTTGAAAATTCTGACTGGGAACTCAAGAATATCAGTTTCTGACTTGAAATGGAGTGGACTGATATCAACATTATTCAAGATAATGTTAAACATATAATGTGATTCATGTTATTCACCAATTTACTTTGGTACCTATGAAAGCACAGATTAAAACACAAAAAACAAACAACCAGATATTTGTTTCAAAGTCATTTTTCAAAATAAAAATAAAAGGTATTTGGATGCTCCTTATTCCCCTCACAGTACATCCGTATATTTGATTTACCACTGACTTTATGCTGGATGTTGATCCTGATGCTCTCATTTACCCAGGCTTGAGACCAATATGAGGCACATATTAGCTTATGCCCCCTGAGATCTAAACATCTCAAACTAGGGATCTTTTTCATGAAGGGCAAATGTCTTAACCAATTGCTACATCCCCAAACAAGGGCTAGAAGATGAAATGAGAAGTAAAAGCCAGGAAAGACAGAAGTCAAACTGAGTGGTGTACATAAAGAGTAAGCTTTCATTATTTATTTTTATTTTTATTTAAAAAGGACAGTGCATATTGATGAACATATACCAGTGTAAATATGCCAGATTTATCCAGAAGGCTATTTTCCATCTGTAGTCCCTGACAGGTCAGACAAAAATGATATATAAAGAATATAGCACACCATCAGACAACAAACCCAACATGAAGAGATGGCTGTGTCACTGTATCAGCTAAATACAAACCTAAATATCCTAAAAGAAAAAAGAAATGGTTAAACAAAAGAGAAACAAACCCAAGCTCCTCACTAGCAGCACTAAAACAACACTAGGCTCAAACAAATCACATCACAACAGCTCTAAACTCTCAGGGCTGCTTCACACACTAACTGACCAAGTAGCTCTTAACCAGGTTATTACTGAGTGAGGCCCCGTGCACGCTGGCTTCTCAAGAGCAAGACTACACACACACACACACACACACACACACACACACACACACACACACACACACACACACAGATCTACTGCATGTAACACCAGTACACAATGGAATAATTTCTTATGAAATATTCTTCTTACATAGAAGAAAAGATTGAATCATGTTGTGCTAGACTTAAAATTTCTGGTAAAAGTCTGCCACCTTATGGTTAAAAAAAAACCTTTTGAAAAGAATGTTTTGAGTCTCTGGTTTTGCTAATTCTGGCAAAGTTACTCCAAAACTGAAAGGATTCAGTTTAAATGTACTTTTTCTAAGACCATGGCATAATGAATGCTAATTCTTTCTCATAGTTTAATAAGACATTGATCTGAACTTTGACGAGGTTTGTTTGGCTTTTTGTCACACCTAAGAGGACAAAACAATATCAATATGTATGCGATGCATTCAGGGTCTGTTAGGATGCCTTACCATTTCATTTAATATTTGTGTTATAAAGTCTGTATTTGAGATGACATGTGCTCTTGTGAACACTCAGTATGGCCTAAATCAGGGGTTTCAAACTTGTAGCCTGGTGGCCACTTGCAGCCCATGTCACCCCCTACAGCAGGTATATTGACGTGAAAAAATATAATGCAATTTGGCCCTTAAAGTTACCGGTTTGTTAGGGAGGATTTGTTTGTTGTTGAGTGCAATGTTAAAACAAGTTCTTTGAAAGGCTAAAAATGATTTAATATGAAGATAATATGAGCAAACAGTACAAACATGTTGAGGGACTGGCAGTAAGAGAGTTATTTGTAAAGAAAACAATTTTCAGCAGCAGTCGAAAACTAATTTGTACACTTATGTCTGCATTTTTATTTTGTTAAATACGAACAAAATTAAAGCAGAAGTGCTGCCACATCTGACCAGAAAGAGAGTACCAGTGTGTAAAAAGCTTCAGTTAGTAAGGAGTGATGAGAAAACAAAAAATAGGTTCACGTTTGCAGTTTTGTCTTGTTATACAATATTTGAAATATAAAAAAACAATTTTTGGAAATATTGGAGGGTGTTTTCTTGTTTGTTTTGTACTATTTGAACACTAAAGTGGCCCTCTAATGAGATGACAGTGCCAGCAGTGGTGTCATGGCTACTGAACGGACTCACGCGCAGACAGTTCTTTCTAAGAGAACAAAAGGAGATTTATTTACAACAGGGATCACGTCAGTGCTATATATATGTACAGTGAGTTGGGAGGGGGGTTTCCCTGGGTCTTTTCCCGGGTTGTAGTTGTGTGTCTTATTTTGAAAAAAAAATTTGTGCATTACCATACCGACCAGAGAGCATTGAGCAGCAGAGAGGAGGATGTTACTCTCAATGTTGTTGGTGCATTTCAGGAGGACACTGCTAATAAAGTTACACAATTACACAGTGAATTCGGGTTTATTATTATATTTACAAAATACCACAGTTTTTGTCTTGGTCGTATCATTTTATTTTGTTGTATTTACTCCCGACACCGTGAAAATACATTAAACCGGTCAATGGTGCAAAAAAGGTTGGGGACCGCTGATCTAAAGGATATAACTTGTAAGCTAGAGAGGAAATGGCACCTCACTAATTTAGAAGATCATTTAGCCTGGAAAGATAGTTTACTGCTTTGTTTTGTTTTTTTTAAAGCCCTCTGTAAAGCTTATTATTCATCACTGATTGAAAAAACAAGAACAACCCTAACGTTTTCTCCAGCACTGTGGCCAGGCTGACAAAATGTCCGAGCTCTGTTTAGCCAAGCACTTTAACATGAACTAGTAATGACTTCATGAATTTCTCTAAAAATAAAAATTTTACCATTAGAGAAAAAATGACTCATAAATGACTCATAAAGGCTTATAACACACAAGCCATCTCACAGACGTAGCATTATGGACAGCTATTTTCAGTACCATTGATATTGATCTAGACTTTTTTTCTTTCTTTTTCTTTCTTCCTGAGTTAACTTAAGTGAGTTAACACACACCAAATAGTTAAACTGCATGAATGTCTTAAAGACATAAAGACCAGGATGACCTCCAATTGTCTCTTTCTAAATCCAAGGGTTATTGTACTCGGCCCTAAAAATTTAGAAATATGGTACCTAACCAGATTGTTACTCTGGATGGCATTACCTTGGCCTCCAGTAACACTGAGAGGAAGCTTGGAGTTGTTTTTGACCAGGATATGCCCTCCAGTATACAGATATTAAACAAATATGTAGGACTTTCTTCCATCTGCACAATATCTCTAAAATTTGTAATATCCTGTTTTAGACTGACTCTGTAAAATAATTAATAATTAATGCATTTATTACTAGGCTGCACCACCATTATTATCAAGTTGTACTAAAAAGTCTTTGAAAAGCTTTCAGCTGATCCAAAATGCTGCAGTGAGAGCACTGACAATGTGCTCTAGTAACACAGAGCACATTTCGCCCATACTCTTCATTGGCTTAAATTCTTCTCATCACGTACAAAGTCGTGAATAATCAGGCCCCATCTTATCTTAATAAGATTATAAAACCATATCACCCCAATAGAGCACTTTGCTCTCAGACTGCTGGTTTACTTGTGTTTATTAGGATATCTAAAAGTAAAATGGGAGGCAGAGCCTTGAGCTTTCAGGCCCCTCATCTGTTGGACCAGCTCCCAGTTTGGATTTGTTTCATGTGT